TCGAAGCATCTGCTCAGAACAGTACAACATAAATATCGCCACTCATCTTCTTCGTGTGAAAATATAAGTTTTCCTTTCAATTGCTTTGCTTTAAAAACAGTCATTAGGTTGTTGAAGAGTTAGTATATAACTTACAACAAAAATTACGCCATTGCTTTAAAAAACAAGTGAATCACAATGCTATAAACTTCAACATCCTTCGAAATTGTAAACAAAACATCGAAAAGCAAAATTCGCGGGAAAAAGCTCACGAGCCCGCACTATTTTTATGCAGCGTCGACAAAAGTCCACCCTGTTTTGTATTTATATTTATTATTTACAACTACAAGCAGCGTGTATTTACTATTTAGAAACTTTTCTCGTTTGGAAAAGGTTTTTCAGCTAGATTTCTTGTGCATTTTGTTGGATATAAACTTCTGTGGAGAAGACATAAAAAGTCGAAGAAATATCTTAGATCTTAAGTGAGTAAATTTATTTGAAATTAAGGTAATCATTCCATGTTTCGCACACCAATATAGTAAACGTTATGTAATGGATATTATATACTGGATACCTCCATACACATATATACACAGCCTAACCATAACCTTAAACCTAACCCTAATACCTAACCCCTAACCTATATTGGTGCGCGAAACATGGAACGATATAAACCGAAATTAATCATTCTTTGGGGTTGTAGTATATGGCAAGTCAAGTGCACAACACATGATGACACGACACGAGTATCCGGAATCACAGTCACAGCGCCACATGTTTGATTACTGCCAGAACACCTACAGTTGCATTTTTTGCAATTACTCCTGGTTGGGTGTAATAAATGTATAATAATCCCACTTGACAGTTCATCTATAAATCCCTTCAATGAACTTTGCACACTTGAAAACTTATATTATTTTATTCCTTGACAACTAGTGGTCGTTGCATATTATTGGCAGTTTTTAACATTAATTGTTATATAAAGTATATATATGTTATTTACCGGATGGGAGGTCCGTATAGAGAAATATTTCTCTATGCGAGAGAAATATTTCTCTATGCGAACCGACCATACCGGTAAATAATATTTTTATTTTTTTAATTCCTCCTCTGGATTTCCCCCAATCGCTCCTCCCGCACGCGAATGAAGCTGCCAAATAAAACGTCGTTTCTATCAATGCTATCGGGAAGAGTAATATCTTTTGTGGGATAGTAAAATTCGCTTTCACGGTGTTCTTCATCGTCTGCAGACATTTTAATGTTTTAAAAAGTAGCCTTTAAACTCGTCTTTAAATTTTGAAAAATAAAAATATTGGCTCTACGGCTTTAAATCTCGCGCGGTCCGTACGGGCTCATACGGACCGCTCACATAACCAATCAGATTGCAGAAAAGCGTAAAATATGACTTCGGACCGCAAGAAAAAAAGTAAAGTGCTTTATGTACTGTTTAATAAACAAGTAGGAGTGTTTAGTGTTTTATCACATATAAAACACGACGCGTAGTGGAGTGTTTTATATGTGATAAAACACGAACTACAAGTTTATTAAACAGCTTCAGAAACGTCTCAGTTAGATCACGGCATTGGCGAAATAATTTTCCAAAATAACTTTGTATTAGCTGAGAAAATACAAGTTGAAATTTGAAGCGTGTTTTATCACATATAAAGACACACCACACTTATGATTTCTCTTTGTGTTTTCCTCATGAATTATTAATGAGTTTTTGAAAGAGATTTCGAGCACTGATAAAAGTGATAATCTCACATGTGAGATTATTCATGATATAATCTCACATGTAAAAATTATCGCTTTTCAATTATCGCTTTTCTGTAAAAATTATCGCTTTTCAAAGACTGTCCTTTATATAATAAACAGAAAAATACATGGGTGCTTGGAAATACCAGATTTATTTCTCGTGTTTATTTCAGCACACCCATGTGTTGTTCTCAATATAATTTCAACTTTATTAGTGCACACTTGAAATTTCAGACAGGATTGCACACTTGCACTCCCAAATTTTAGTCGTGCACACCTGAGATCCCGTCGAAAAGTGCATTGCATTCTGCATCCCTAGACTCTCTGAAATGGCATTGTGTGCCTTGTGAGGAACATTGTTGTCTCACAGATACGGTACTTCGATTTCACCTCCCACAACTACAGACCTGCCAACTGCCACAGTTTTGCCACAGAATACTACACAGAAGTCCATCTCCTTTGTTTTTTGCGTTTACTAAGCGCTATTTGTCATGATTCGTCACTCAGCAAGTACCGTAAACAGAAGTAGTCACCCCCCTGCACGTGTGCCATTTTGAGTATTTCCAGGGGGGGCTGCTTCTGTTTACGGTACTTGCTGAGTGACGAATCATGATGAATAGAGCTTACGCAAAAAACAAAGGAGATGGACTTCTGTGTAGTATTCTGTGGTTTTGCCATTGGCTGTGCTTTCTCACAGTCTCGTGAGAAAGTCTTTAACACTTGTCACTGATGATTTTCCAGGAAAGCTGTGTTTAATAAAGTGTATTATTATATTATGCTTATAAATGAAATGATCATGACACTGAATTTTGTTTCAGGACTTCCAATTGCATTAATACATTATGTACATTATTATTCAGCCCATGTGGGGCTTTTCAGTGACCGATTACATCAAGTGTTATGCTTACTTATGTTACTTACTTGGCCTTAACACACTTCAGGCAAAAATGCACAACCTGTTCGGGGTTGATGTCGACAGTCATGAACAATGTTGTGCTGCACCCCTTGGACAATGTTGTTAACAATGTTTAACAGCATTGATGGTCCCTGGTGGGAGGAAACGGAGTCTGTAGCGAGTATATCGAACCCACAATCTCAGAATTGTAAGGCACTTGCTCTGACGACTGCGCCACCGAAGATCCCTCCCAGTACTAATTAAATGCGGGACATACCAGGAGTTTGTTTAGTAGAGACATTCATGATTTTAAAGATCGGAAAGTACACAACTTAATTGTCCAGCTATCCTCACAATAATTTTGTTTAAAGTAACCATGTGTACATTGCATGTGATAGGCAGATATATTTCTGTGGAACACATGTCTAACTGAAAAATTAGTGAAAATTGTATATTGCAATGACGAATGGCAGTGTCAGTGATGAATGGCAGTGTCATATAAAAAAGGAGAAATATATTTCAACTTTGCATGCAATGATAGTAACTATGCAACTATTAGTATTTATTATAGTGTACCAATTTCCCAAACTAAGTACAATTTAAGGGTATATGCATTCAGTATCATGAAAATTATGGGGGGGGGGACTGAAGCCTCCAGCTTCCGCTGTCCCTAAGGGGTCAAGTGTCAAAATTGGACTTCTTAAGGAAGGGTCAAATATATATTTATGCCAAAAGGCGTCAATATGACGGGAGGGAGCCCGAACGGCAGGAATGTCTTTTTTTTCTGAAATGTGGGCTTGAAAACATTGAATAACAAAAAGTTAAAATTAATATTAAAAAGCTCTGAATCTCACAAATACCTCAATCAAAATAAATCCTTCAATAAACTTGACCTGTTCACAACATTATTTTCAACAGTCCCATAGACGTCTCCCAGTTCTTATACCTGTGGGCTAACAGTGTCCTTTGAAAACAATGCAGAATTTGAAGTTGTAAAAATTTTCTCGAAATTATCCGGTATTAAAGGGAAATGGCAATATTTTTTTTATTTTCTCGTTTGAAAGAACATTTAAAAGCATATATAAAACTCTTTTACCGTTTTTTCATATCTTGCTTACTTCTACAAATATTTTAATCGAAAGAAATGAAATGTCCGCCATCTTGGATTTTTGTAGATATGCATGCACGTCACAACAGGCAGGGTTCTCCTTATCAGGCGGTAACCGGTAAAATTTACCGTTTCCACGAGCACTGATTACCGCCTGGAGAAGCCCAAGTTAAATATACGTTTGTGTACATTTGTTAATAAATAATTAGTAATAAGGTGTGAGAAAATCCTTTATATAATAACTACAGTGAAACACGCAATTTTATTGGTCAATAGTCGTGCAGGATCAGGCTATCCTGCACGAGGAATTATAATGCCTTCGTGGGATTTTCAAAATGTCATAGTTTCACTGCAGTTATTTTATAAAACAATTACCAAATGGTTTTCCAAGCAGGATAGCGTGATCCATGCACTTGGGATGTTGCTCGACTTTTGGAAAAGTGTCAAAATACACTCGCCTGCAGCTCGAGTATTTTTACGCTTTCCGAAAGTCTCGCGACATCCCTCGTGCATGGATCACGCAATCCTGCACGGAAAACCATTCGGTATTCCTTTAATAATCAATCAATCAATCAAGTATTGCTGAAATTCCACAATATCATTTATTTAGCATCGATAGATTGAATACAGAAATATCCTATAAACCCGATCTGTGAACAAAATTTTTTGGCGGAATGATTATATTATCAACCCAGCGTGGGCCTGAGGACTGAGTAATTAAATTGGCGTGTGCTTAGAATATAATCTTTAGTATTCTATAAAAGTTTAAATCTTCCCTCAAAATGCAGGAAATGCCATTTCAGATTTCAAAATTTTCCGTTGGTATACCCCAGACCCCCTAGAGGTTTGTATAGGTGCGACTTGATGCTTATACCTGTTGAAAAACCTGTTTTACCTGTCGCACTCACAACTATGGAGAACCCTGGATATGACACGGTATTTTTCAAGTGTACCGTGAAACTCCACTGACAAAATGAGCCTGCACAAGTGGGAGAAAATTTGCGCATTCCGACCATCGTGGTGTGTCTTCTTATTACTATTAAAGTTAACCAGCATGGCAGGCTTTCTGGGTTTGGAGGAGGGTTTGGGGAGTTAAAGTTTACCAGGCTAGCCATGTACGCATTGCGTACCTATTTTTTTAAGTATTTTATAAAGCGTATGCTATGTATGTGCTAAGAAGCTAGTTTTGTGTGGAAAGCAAAAGTAGTGAAGGTAAAGAGATTAAAATTGGATTTAGTGCGTATTTTTGAAAAAATTTTACCACCAAATATGGTAGTCCCCCCCGTCGATGACACTTGTGACGTCAGGTACATACGGGACTTTGGGGGCGGGTTTTGGCGGGGAAATCTGTAATGTTTGGAGAAGACAAGATGGCGCTGGTTACCTCGTGTCATATCAAAGGGCATTTTTGTTCACAAATACCCGCTTATTTTACGTTATAGTGACTGGTTCGTTTTGGAAATTATAACTCAATGGACGGGGAAAATGATTCTGTATTAAAGAGAAAATGATGTGCAGTTATTGTGATGTTATTTGTTGTGAAAGACGGCCCGAAATTTCGCTACTTCGCGGTACTGGTTTATAAAACATTTACAAGCAACAGCAATTGAACTATATGACAAAGAAACCAATGTATACAAGCCAATCAAGTTCTTCAGTTTAAAGGTCTGTTTACTTTTTAATAATTAGTTCATTTAGTTGTACATTAATACGAAGTACTGGAACAGTACGCCTAATCACAGAATAGGAAGGTATACCGTATTTACTCGTTTAAGCGCCGCGGCGCTCTTTAAATTTTCAGAGCTTCAGATGCGGCGCTCATTCGGGGGCGGCGGTCAATGGGGGGCGGCGCTCTTTAAAAAATATTTTATTTGTGAATTATGACAAGAACTTTTAACTATAAAATAGACAAGTTTTAAAAGGTTTTTGTTACTAAATGTCCCCATTTTGATACTGTTTAGTGCGGCGCTCATTCGAGGGCGGCGCTCTTTTAAAAAAAATGATCTCAAATGCGGCGCTCTTTTAAAAAAAATGATCTCAAATGCGGCGCTCTTTAAAAAAAAATGATCTCAAATGCGGCGCTCATTCGGGGGGGGGCCCTCAATCGGGGGCGGGTACCCATTGAACTAAAAATAACTGGAACAATACCTCCAGCCGGAAATGTGAAGCCATGCCCAGGCATGCCCACTGTTGTCATGCCCAGTCTTTTCACGTAACAGAAATGAACGCGGGTTTTTTAAATTTCCAAAACTGGGTAAAAAAATGCACTAAAACATGATTTAAAACGACGTAAAATGCACCTACCAGTACATTTTTTACAATAAAAACATCCTTCAAAACTCTAGAGTAAAATATTTTTAATTTATTTGTGTAGAATTCATAATTAAATTTCCTTTTTTGAAAAAAAACGTTGAGCGAGGAGTGGAGCTTGCAGTGGTCTAATCATAAGTATTTGTGTGAATTTCCCTATTTTGCTCATTCGTTTTCCAATTTATTCGTCTGAAAGTTAGGAAAAAGGGTATTCTAACAAGATCAAACTACCAACCACAGTTTAATTATGTTTTGTAGTAGAGTATTTATTAAGTTTTAAAGGTACAAAATAACAAATATAAACATTAAAGACATTAAGAAAGTTATTTTCGCGGACAAGTATTTCATGTCGCGATTATTCACATTCGGCAAGAAATACACAGAACAAGTCGTCAACGAAGGCAAACAAAGTGATAGATACAGATTAAATAAACTTATTTTGTTTAACAATCAATGAAGTTGTTATAAATATATGTTTAATATGTTACAGTGAAAATACAAAAAGTGTCCCACTTCCGCTTCTGTAGTTTGTTGTGATTTACTGTAATTTGTTCTGTTTTTCTGTAGCGATTACCGATTTATCGGCAAATACCGCGATAAAACTTACTTTTTCCATTTTTAAATATGATAATTTGTAGCAAAGGGAAATAATACATTTTCCGTTAGTTTCATTGCATAAAAGGAACAAAATTTAAATTTTATCGCAGTATTTGCCGATAAATCGGTAATCGCTACAGAAAAACAGAACAAATTACAGTAAATCACAACAAACTACAGAAGCGGAAGTGGGACACTTTTTGTATTTTCACTGTAAGATAAAGAATTACTTATCTTTCTCAAGTTTCATCTGCATATAAACGTTCCAGTCATTCAAATATGCACTTGTTATCTCCAATCAGTTACTTTCTTCCTTGCAATTTTAGTCGGTAGGGTTCAAGATATGTTTTAAATACACTTTTAATACAAAAATATAGCTTAAAACCCTAAATAAACGACAATTTTCGATCCATTCGTCCGAGAAAAAACATTCAGTCACTTCGTCGTAATGGTCTCGCGAGAATGTCTCGCAACACAAACGCGCGTGTCTGGAGGTAGAACACGTGCGGCTGGAGGTAAAATTTGGCTTCATCCGATCATAAGCCAATCCTATTGGAGGTAGCGTTCCAGGTATTTTTAGTTCACTGGGTATACCAGAAGCGTAACTCAAGCAAGTATTTGTCCGCGTTTTTACAAACGATTCGTCATCAATCACGCCATCCTGGCTAGTACAACCGGCACTTTGTACCTACCAAAACCAGTGAACTCTCTCTTATATATATATCTGGAATGATAACAGCGAGCGAAAAGTGAAGCCGACAAAAAAAATCACGACATAAGTATTCGTCATTGTCTTCGTCATCAACTGTTCAAGAACAATCACTTATAAAATTTGTAATTGTTTTGAAAGTTTTTATCACAGTTTTTATATCTTTATTCACTTTTAACCTGAAGATGGAGTTATACTACGAAACGTAGTTATTAAAATAATTTTTTACTAAGCCCATATGGTCTAATTTATATTCAAACACACGTACATATTCATTTACATTTTGCTAGCAGGCAAATTCCGATCACACAATAAATTCTTTAAAAAATAACGTACTAGTCTATTGACTAAAA